CTTCCTCAGAATGGCAGCAGCGCTGGAAGAGCAGATCCTGCCAGCTGTGGCTTCACCCAACTCCCAGTTTGTGAGAGCTGTTCCTGTCGGGAACATCTGCTCTTCCCCCAAGTCCTTTTGCTAATGGCCAGAGCCAAGATCCAGATGCTTAAGTGATGATCCAGATATCTCCCCAGTGACCTCTAAGCAACTTCAGGCAATAAACTGTTGTAAGGCAGAAAAGCTTTATTTAGCTCATTTCCCTCAGTCTTAAACACAGAGGAATGTTGTTTTGTTTAGCCTTGCCCATGAAAACTTGAGGTCCTCTTGGCTTCTCTCCCTGCGTGCACTTTTTGGTGCAAAATGTTATGACTGTGATAAAAGCCGGGGAGGCTCTAAAACATTCATGTGTAGGAGAAGGCAGCAGCTGAAGCAGCGTTCTTTGGAGCGGAACATCCCCAAGTGTCAACAACCACTGCCGCTGACCAAAGATGGTTGGGTTTCTTCAGTCACTTGAATTTTTTTCCTCTCATCACTGGCAGGCTCTGTGTGACTGTAGGAGGAGTTTGCGGTCACCTCCCCTTCTGAGGCGCTGCGGCCAGCTTCCCCCGCCGAGGTGAGACCCTTCATTCCCTTGGGAAAATATCAAACCCAGGCCAGTTACGCTGGTTGTCCGAGGCCACTAAGACTTTCTGCCCCATGGTACTGCTTCCCAGTCTCCCCAGGCATCGGAAGGGTGCTGGGTGGTGATGGGGGGTGTGTGCAATCTTCTTGTGGCAGCCCCAGAAGCTGAGCTTTGGAAGGGTTTGTGTGTGCTACATGGGCATGGGAAGCTCTTTGTCTCCTGAACTTGGTGGGAAGGAGCTAGCCCAGAAACTTGCAGCCAAGCCCTAGAGTTGCACGTGGGCCTGGCCGGGTCCCCGCTGTGCAGCGGGAGCTGAGGGAGAACTGGGGTGGACTCTTCTCCCTGGGGGTCGCTGCACGCTCAGCTCTGGCTCCCTGATGCTGCCCTGCTCCCTCCCGCCCACAC